TCAATAAGTGACCAGTTGGGACTGGGAAATGCCCCTTGCAGGTACTTTGGTGCCTCAGTAGTTCTCTTGCCATTTCTTCAGTTGAAACTGAATCTGGTCACATGAAACTGGGAACAAATTTTGCCAGCCCCTGATAATACTATTCAGATGGTTTGTGGTTCTTCTGAGTGTGTCAGGCTGCTCTCAGAACCAGTAGGAAAATTCTTGACAATCAGGCAATGTACCTTCTGTATGCTAGCTTTCCCAGGTAGCTGTTAGCAGACATGATAGATATTGGAAGTCCTTGCTTAATGACCGGTCCCTTAGTGATCATTAGAAGTTAAGATGGACCTCCCTAGAGCTATTTACAACCAAATTTTGAAGTTCCAGCGACCCAAAAACACATACTTGCTATGTGTCATGTGTTTGTATTTTGGATGGCAGTTGGCTTGCATTTGTAGCTGTTCACATGACTGCAGTTTTTGGCAATTCTTGCCAATTTCCGACAAAAAATTCCATTGGAGAAAATTGGTTTATTTAACGACCACCACATTCACTTAAAGACTGCCATGAAAAAAGCTGTAAAATTGAGTGTGGTCACATGGTGACTCATTTAACAAATGCCATGATTTATGACCATAATTACAGGCTCAATTACAGTTGCAAGTTGAGGATTATCTGTAATAAAAGGCAATGTAGGAGAGATATGGGAGGAAAGCAGGGGTGGGTTCTACTTACCTTTACTACCAGTTCGCAATGGGAGCACGCGCATGTGCAGGCTTCTGCGCATGTGCAGATTGTCAATTATGACGTCTGGGTGGGTGGGCGGAGCCTCCCGCTGCTTTTACTATCGGTTCTAAAGAACCAGACAGAACCGGGAGCAACCCACCACTGGAGGAAAGTAAAATTGAAATAGTGCTACCCCAGAGGAGCGCTATTGAAGAAAGTTTTTCAATCTTTTGAATAAACCAACATACAAATCCCATGTTAATTAAAATCTTTTAACAAGATCTTTAATTAAAATCTTTGAACAAAGTTCTCCTACAAGGGATGCAAAGAGTTTCCTGAAAGCAAGTCATCCAGGCCAGTTTATTCAGAGGTCAGTTTAAAAAAAAAAAAAGGAGGTGGGGTAGTGATGTAGTCAATGCAGCTACTGAGGGGCAAGGCTTTATTACCTTGCATTACACAATGTTCTTTCCATGAGGTCAAAAGCAGGATAAATTATACAAAGTAGTTAATCAATAGAAGCAATGATTGCATAATGCGCTCCTCTGCAAAATTCAGGTGTTTTTGGTGACAGATTTTGAAATATAGCATTCATATAGTTCTAGCTATCACTGCGTGAAGCACCCAGCTTTATCATGCGCATCCTTCCCTGAGCATTGTTGCAAAGACATGATAGGGTTGACTGTACCACATAATCAGAGACTGCAACTGACAACTTTTCCATGGCATCAGATCTGTTGGGTGTAAGACCGTATAGCCTGGAGGGGAAGTGGCATTGGAGGAAAAGAGCTGACCAAAACTTTCTGAGGTCACCTCAAGTACCTTTGGCATTAATCCTTCATCCTTTGGAATCCCAAGTTGTTTTAACCAATTGTTGATACCTCATTAGTAAGGCAGCCTAATTATTACCAATGTCAGCACAAGCTGGTTTAAAGGCCTGTACCTGGGTGAAAATGGAAATTCAAGAGCAAGCTTCTTCCAAAACTTGGCTAAAACTGAGCCGATAAACAGGTCCTTATACAGCCACAATGGTAGTGAATTTGTTTGCATGCTTTGCATACAATATAAACAGCAGAGAAAGAAACCAATTGTACCAAATTGTCTGTTTTGAGCAGAACATCTGACAATTCTAGTCCTAACAGGATCAGCCCAAGATCTTCTGCTATCTGAAATAAAGGACAAGATCCTTCTACTTCCAAGGCCATCTGTAGAAATGGATGGAATTGGACCAGCATGAGCCATGGATGGAGCCATGTCCTAAGGAATGCATAACCAGAGGCTAGGAGGAAGTCTAGGAAAGGTGGGGAAGAATGTTGTCCACCAATAGAAGGACATAGTTGGAGAGTCCAGGAGGAACAGCAAAGAGAGTGCCCATGCTGCTTCTCCTCCCTTCCAGTACTCCTTATCTGTAATGCTAATTTCCTGCTGCTGCCCGATGGTAGAGCTGGCTCAGGAAGCAATATAAATTGTAGGATTTCCTACGAGGTAATTTGTAGGATTTTGAAAGTGGGAATTACAGTGGTATATTGGTACTTAATTGCTTTGAAACTCATCAAATTTGGTGCTCAACGCATTTTGACATGAAAATTTTGTCCCGGTACTCATTGTTTGTTTGGTACTCAACGCACAAGCTAGAGCTTGTCAGCTTCGGCTGCCTTATGACTCACTACATTATTCCTTATGGGAAAAATTCATCCTTTATGGTACTCATCATGCCTCCCAGAACCAATAAATAATGAGTACCAAGGTACCACTGTACTGTAAATAATGAGTAGCCTACCTGGGAAGAGAATAATCAATCTGATTTGCCATGAAAACACTATTAACTTCATAAACAATATGAGATTCTTCTTCCACATCATTATTAATGCACATTTTTTAGACCAGTGTTTCTCACTCTCAAGAATTTTAAGATGTGTGGGCCTGCTGGCTAGGGAATTGTGGAAACTGAAATGCACCCATCTTAAAATTACTGAGGTTGAGTAACAGTGTTTTAGAAATTGTGCTGATCATTAACCTCGGCTGTGACTCTCCCAATGCCCTCTTGCTCCAGCCCCTTTTTAAAGAGTTTCCTGATATATGGAATGTTCTGAGAAATTAACTGGTTTCCAATAAACATTTTGCAGGCAGTTGGAAGTGGGCCCAGTGAGCCTCAGCCACAAGCTTGGTCTTCATTAAATTAAAGGAAGGCATTCCAGTCCTATTTGTAATTTGGCAGGAATCAAAGCAATCAGGTTTTTCAGAGGGCCATCTTGTGATGTTGTGCTACAATCATTTCTTTTATTTCTGCCAACTATATAGGAGGAGGCATTAGCAAACTTGGGGGTTATGCTGGTTGGATTGGAAGGGTATGAATGGAAATGCTTGGGTGGGGTGGAATAGGGAAATACAATGAAGTTTATAAAATATCTTATTGTTACTAACTGTCCTGTAGCTTACACTCTGATATATACTATATAAAATGTATTGACTTTCTACGTAATTTATTTGAACACACACACGTATCTTGTGTTTGTCACCTCCTGGGAGTTTTAATTCTGTGGGCCAATAGCATCTTCTCTGTTTTTTAAAGATCACTGCCCTACAATCATTCATTCATTCATATGTGTTTTATTATATGCAAAAAAAACCCCAACAGCCAGTGATAAATTTGAAAAATGTTGTATATAGTACATGGCAAAATTGTGCCTAATTTTCACATGTGTCTTATGAATATTTGTTTTTATCCATAGACCAATACCCACATGTATATTTACCACTTGATGTCATGTATAAATGAACCATTTCATATGCCGCAAATCCTGCATACAAATTTTTCATTTAACCTTTTAAAACTATTTGCCAAAGAGCTGGCTTACATTTTTTTTTTATTTAGACTTCTATACCGCTTCATAGTGCTTTACAGCCCTCTCTAAGCGGTTTACAAAGTTAGCATATAGCATATTGCAGATTAGTATATTGCATTAGCATTAGCATATTGCCCCCAACAATCTGGGTCCTCATTTTACCCACCTCGGAAGGATGGAAGGCTGAGTCAACCTTGAGCCGGTGAGATTTGATCTGCTGTTCTGCTGAACTAACAGTCAGCTGAAGAAGCTGTAGTACTGCACTCTAACCACTGCGCCACCTCAGCTCATAACATATCGTGTTTCCCCGAAAATAAGACCCTGTATTTTATTTTTTTGAACCCTGAAATAAGCGCTTGGCCTTATTGCCATGCACTCAAAAGCCGGATTGGGCTTATTATCAGGGGATGTCTTATTTTGGGGGAAACAGGATAGTTAAGTGCAGTATCATCTGGTTCATATTATGCAAATCGCTTTTGACTGCAAGTTATTTGCTGCATTTTGGACTGCTGACTGCAAATCCCTGCATCTGCAGAAATGCATGGCAGTGGCATAAGCCAGTGTTTACAGACTACTAGTAGATCTGTAGTGTCTCATTGACACAGCAGGTGTTAGCATCAAATGACAAGACATGCATTTATGAACCACTGATGAGTAGAACAAAATACAAAGAGATACAGGTAGTCCTCGAGTTACAACCACAATTGAGCCCAACATTTATGTTGCTAACGGAAACATTACTTAAGTGAGTTTGCCCCATTGTATGACTTTTCTTGTGCCACAGTTGTTAAGCGAATCCCTGCTGTTGTTAAGTTAGTAACAGGGTTGTTAAGTGAATCTGGATTCCCCACTGACAGGGCTTGTCAGAAGGTCGCAAAAGCTGATTGGCTGACCTCAGGGACACCGCAGCCGTCATAAATATGAACCAGTTGCCAAGCATCTGACTTTTGATCATGTGACCATAGGGATGCTGCCACGGTCATAAGTGTGAAAAACGGCCATAAATCACTTTTTTAGGTTGCAACTTTGAACGGTCACTAAACGAACTGTTGTAAGCCGAGGGCTATCTGTAAAGCACTGCCCCTTAGTGTGTTAACGGGGCACGTCGACTACTAGCCCCAAAAAGGCATGCTACATTAATGTGCGGGGAGTGCCTTACACGATGAAATCCGACCACGGAATCTCTCGCAGGGCTTCTTCAGATTGTTGGAATTTCCCCGGGCGCCGGAACGCTCAGCAAGACCACCGAAGCCTCCGACTGACTGCGAGGAACAAAAAGAGAGCCCGCGCTTCACCTGCTCTTGTTCCACGCGCCCCCCACCACTCCCCCCGTCCCGTCCCGCATTCTTCTGAAGTCTAATTCCTCGAGGTGTGATTGGCTGCGAGGGTGGCACGCGCTCGCCCGTCGGTCCGTCCCTGTCCGCGTCTAGAGTGCCTCTCTGTGTATATGTTTGCGCACGCTGGGAGAGCTGCCCCCTCTAGCCCCAAAACCTCCGCTCCGCACCGCTTCCCTTCTTCTCTCTGTCTTGTCTTGTCTGTCTCTCTCTCTCTCTCTTCGGAGGGGAAACCTCTCTTAAGGCTCCGATTCTTCCTTCAAGAAAAGCAGAAGGTGAGTGTGCTGTCCAGAAGAGGACGGCGCGGACGGAACGAGGCGCGCGCTGCTCCTCCTTTGCAATCCGTTCGAGTTGTTGCATCAGATGTCCCGTCGGAGCGGCCGCCCGTCTTGGAAAGCGGGGAGTGGGGGGGGGGGGACGAGGAGGTCGTGCGGGCTCAAGAGGAAAAGAAGGAGGGCCCCTTTGCTTGCCCTCTCCAAATATCTCTCCCCCCCCTCCCCTTCGTACCTCCGCCGAGGGGCCCTTTGGGAGAGCGCCCACTTTTCCCCGCCGGCCGCAGAGACTGCAAAGGGACCTCGAAGAAACTTGGGCCAAAAGCGCGGGGGTCACCAAGGGACAAGCAGTTGTGTGTGTGAGTGTGTGTGTGAGTGTGTGTGTGTGTGTGTAGGGGTGCTTCTCGGCGGCACTGGGTCCCGCGGTTGTATGTTGGTGGGTTTGGCCGGGAAAGCCAACGCGTACAAGCGAGAGACAAACCCCTTTTAGGGGGCCTCTGCGGGGAAGAGAGGGCGCGGAGGGGCGGCTTTGTGCTAGCGCTCAGGACGGTGGGGAGGGGGAAAAACCAGGGGTTTCGGCCAAGAAACTAGGGTTGTCGTAGCTCAGCCTCTCGGCAAGCAGTTGGCTGGAAGGGCTGGGTGTTTTATTTTGGGTGATTAGTTGTTGCCACGTGGGCTCTCTCGAAATATATAGACTTATATTGTATGCAAGCGCGCGCGCGCGCACACACACACACCACAGAGACACAGACAGTCCAAGCACACATGCGAAATCGATCCTCCCTGGAGCCGAGAACAACCTGCCAACCACCCGATCGTTTAAATAAAGGTGGGTTAAATAAAGGTAACCAGCGCAAATATTTGTTGGATTTTAGAGCAGACAAATTTATTGGACAGGAGTTTTAGCTAAAATTGAACATCGGATACCCGCTTAGGCTCTTGTGGTGCATTTTGGGGTGGTGGGGGGTGGTGGATCCTGCTTGAAATGGTCCCGAGTTCAAAGAGAATTAAGTCTGTCAAACTTGAACATGGATTATAAATTGCGGGGCATCTCTGGGAATCAGAGAAGTCTTGTTGGAGAAGTAAGATAGCAGTATTTAACATGGCAGGGATTGGGAATACAGTACTGTGTTGTATATACTTTTTCATGTAAAGTGTGTATCCAGTACATAAGATGACCTAAACTCAGTTTATTAATACTTAGCCTTTTGAATCATCAAGATGGTCCATAAAATTAGAAATTAGTATTATGATAAACAGTGTATTTGAATCCCTTTAGTGCTGCCATACAGGTAGCCCTTGACTTATGACCATAATTGGGACCCAAATTGCGGTTGCTAAGAAAGTTGATTGTTAAATGAATCAGGCCTGACTTATTACCTTTTTTGCCATGATTGCTAAATGAATTGCTGCAGTTGTTAAGTGAATCATGCAGTTGTTAAGCCAATATAGCTTCCACCATTGACTTTGCTTGTCGGAAGCTAGCTGGGAAGATCACAAATGGTGATCACATGACCCCAATACAGTGCAACCATGGCAGATACATATCAGTTGTCAAGTGCAACCTGAATTTCAATCAAATGATCTTGGGGATGCTGCTATAGTCAAACATCAGGACTGATCAGAGATCCTTTTTTTCAGTGCTGTTGTAACTTTGAACAGTCTCTAAATGAGTGGTTGTAAATCAAGGATTACCTATAATTTTAACATTACTATGTAAAGTTATCTGCGTATCACAGATAATGGGAGGATAATTGAAAAAAATAAAATTTCCCTCTAGACAAGCTTGGCTCCTTTAAAAGGCAGAAAATCGTCAGTAATTTCAATTGACTATTTGTACTGTCTGGCAGAGGCACTAAATATCTCAGGCTACCTTAAAGGGTGGGTTTTAAATTCTGAATTTTGATTTGAGAACTGATCTAGGGAAGGAGTATTATTCTGGACAGTTTAGGGCAGCTTCCTCAACCAGGTGCCCTCTGCATTTGTTGGACTTCGGCTCCAATTCTCAGCCAATGAAGCTGAAGGAATTTTGGAAATTTCAATGCCCATGTATCTGATAGGTGGGTTAGCAGACAGTACAGTGCCTTTGTGCATGGAATATTAGGGAATATGTGCAAGATTGCAACATATATTTCCTAATAACATTCCATGTGAATTATGTAATTTGCATCAGTTGTGTCATTTGCACAGTGAAATCATGATATATGTGATGTAAGGCCCCTAGCCCTAATGGACAGTGATTCCACTGAAGTAATTCAATGCCTCTATTTTTATTTTTTTTTCTCATTCTATATGTTTATCATGTTTCAGAGTGGTTACTCTGTTTCCTGCCTTGTGGGCATTTTAGGCTGGTTTAAAATTTATTGAAGGGTAGTAATTAATCTATATTTAGGGATGCTTTATAGATAGATCTTCTTCGTTGTAGGATCCAACAAGATCTTCTCTGTGTTTGATTGCACCATGTGCAGTTTAATTACTATTTAAACACTTAAAATTGATGTATTGGTTACCGAAATAGGAAAGAGATTGAAAATGGGGAGTGTGTGTATGTGTGTTTCTCTCTGTCTTCACTAATTTGTGTCCAAAGGACAGTTTTGATACCTTCCAAATCCAGCAATAGATCTGAATTTAACCATGGATAATAAGGTCAGCACATCTGTCCCTTGTCTGTTGATTGCCTATTCATCAAATAATGGCAGATTTATTTGACATCATTCCTCCCATCACCACAATTAATAGGGCAAACCTAAAGAGTCTTTTCAATATTCTTTGCAAATAGAGTACCTGGTCATTTAAATCTATTCCCCACATTTATATGTGTCACCTTTTGTTATATACCTTTACTTACTTTATTAGGCAACAGTGGTTGTGTTTGGAGCTCCTGCAAAGTGCAACACTTTTCTGCTCTTCTTTAAAGTGGTTTCATTAAAGTAAGATTTCAAGTGAGCTTAAAATAAAAAGAAATTGCTGCTTCTTGCTGCTGTAAGAAATTCACTTACTACTCTTTTTCCAAGTCTTTCCCCAAGTCTTGTGATTAGGATGGTTTAGACATAACCATCCTATAAATAAATAAATAAATAATAAATAAATAAATAAATAAGCCACACTTATTTAGAAATCAGAAAAATGTCTAGATCTCTAAATACATAACAGAATTGTGCAAAGGCTGGAACACTTTTTTGGAATCAACTTTCAAAGCTTGCACAAACTTAGGAATCTGTTGTTTTCATATACATTTGCCACACATGTGGCAAATGTATATATTTTTTTATGCTGTTAAAAATCTTAACATGTAATTAGGTATATTTTTTAAAAGATAAAAATTCACCATTCCATCTCCACTACTAGTTCATATCTTCCACTTAAATCCTACTGCAGATAGTCCTTGACTTATGACGGGTTGATTAGCAACTATTTGAAGTTAGAACAGACCTACCTGGGGGCTACTTATGACTTAGATCTAAAGTTGTAGTGGTTGTCCCCCTGGTCATGTAACTGGACTTCAGGCGCTCAGTAACCAGGTTGCAGTTGGTTTATCCATACATTCATTTTAGTATAAACTCAACCTATAAACAAAGGTTTACAAATGCAAAGAGCTAGGTTCACACATTGCACTAAATCAAAGCCAAGTTAACCACCGTACGATTTAGCACAACAATGTATGGATGCAGTTAGGACTGTTTCCAGTGTAATCTTTCTAAACTCTGCAGCATCCTACAGTCATGTGACAGCATTTTATGATGGTTTTGCTGAAAATCCGCATTTCCAGGTTTTGGTAAAACCATGCTCATTGTTTTGCTTAACAACTGCAGTGTTCATGTAACGATTGCCACAAAAAAAGATTGTAATGGACAGACTCCATAATGCTCATAAATCAAAGACTACCTGTATAGAAGATTGTAGTGAGCCTATTCTTTCTCTCCTCTTCCTGTTTGGGTCTGTGTTCAAAGAATATATTTATTTTTAAATCAGGATGAGCTTTAGCTCCTTTGCCGGATCCAAATGGAGAATTGCCAAGGCTCAAATTTTCCTTGGAATTAATACTGATTCACAACGTGAGAATGTGTTTCTCTGCCCTTAGTAGTCAGCAGCAGAGATTGGAAAGATTACACTGGAAACAATCCTAGCTGCAGTCGTACATTGTTGTACTAAATCATACACTGGTTAACTTGGCTTTGATTTAGTAGAGGGATGGGCAACTGTGGCCCTTTTACAACCTGTGGACTTCAACTCCCAGAATTCTTGAGACAGCCAAGCTGGCTCAGGAATTCTGGGAGTTGAAGTCCACAGGTTGTAAAAGGGCCACAGTTGCCCATCCCTGATTTAGTGCAATGTGTGAACCTAGTCCTTTGCATTTGTAAACCTTTATTCATAGGTTTGAGTTTATATTTTTATTTTTATTTATTTATTTATTTATCATATTTGTATACCACCCTACTCCCGAAGGACTCAGGGCGGTGAACAGCCAAAATAAAATACAAAGACATACAAAAGTTAAAAAACTATTAAAAACAGATTAAATAATTTAGGCTCAAAGAACAAATTAAGACATCAATTTATCTAAAAAACATTTAAAACCCAATTTAAAAGCCAATTTAAAAGGGAGAGTTAGGCCAGACCAGCCTGTTGGAATAAAAATGTTTTTAGGGCGCGGCGGAAGATGCGTAAATCTTGGATCCTCCGTATCTCCGGGGGAAGCTCGTTCCAGATGGCAGGTGCCCCCACAGAGAAGGCTCTCCCCCTGGGGGCCGCCCGTCGACATTGTTATTAAAATGAATGTATACTTCATAAAATGTGTGAACTCATCTTGGTTGTAGCTTTTTGCCTGTGATGATACATTTGGACGTGTAAAGTAATCACTGGGAATTCTGTTTGTCTGAACTAGCTTTGGAGGACTGATGCTAGTAAGCATTGTAGGGTAGGCAATGTGAACGTTGTAGCTGAGGAGGTTAGGTCTTTCTAACCCATATGCTTAAAATAATGGAAAATTTGAGTCATCAAAT